GGGCCGTACACGCACGCACGCGCCGTCTTCTACGCCGCGCAGATCGTCCTCGCCACCCACCACCTTCATGAGCTCGACATCCTCTACCGCGACCTCAAGGTCCCCTCCGCTCGCCTCTCTCTCTCTCTCTCTCTCTCTCTCTCTCTCTCTCTCTCTCTCTCTCTCTCTCTCTCTCTCTCTCTCTCTCTCTCTCTCTCTCTCTCTCTCTCTCTCTCTCTCCCTCTCTCTCTCTCTCTCTCTCTCCCTCTCTCTCTCTCTCTCACTCACTCACTCACTCTCACTCACTCTCTCTCGCTCGCTCTCTCTACGGGACGAGCCCGGGACTTGAGCGCTGTCCAGGCGTGCGCGAGCGAGGAGTGCGAGCTGGAGGAGCGCGCCCGCCGCGAGAGGCTGTCGAACTTCCCGGACGAGCTCGCGCTTCTCGGCTTCAGGTTGTTTTGGGGACAGTCTCCGCGTTTATCATCGCCCTGATGCCCTCTGTGACCGATCCCCTCCTCCCGTGCCCGCAGCCTCGACGACGCGGGATGTCTCGACGAGAAGCGGCTGCGGCAGGTCTTCCGGGCAAAGTCGCGCGAGATGCACCCGGATGTGGCGGCGCAAGGAGGGTCGGAGGAGGAGCGTGCGCGCGCCGAAGAGGCGATCCGTGAGCTAAACGAGGCGAACGAGATTGTCCGGAAGCTGCTGTGAGAGACCGCTGACACAAAGGAGAGGTGTGCAGAAATAAATAAATCAATAAAACGGTCAAACTCTGAGACGAGATGGGGTTTAGGGACATGTTCATGCACATGTGTCCCCGTCCTGCACGATCTTGGTGTGAGGGATGCTCTTCAATCCGCGTCCCCACCCCTTGGTCTAGACTACCCGACACGACTAGAAGACAAGAGCGGCAAGAGTTTTGCTGTTTGGGGCTGCGGCTACGGCTGCGGCTGCGAGAGGGGCTGCGAGAGGGGCTGTGGTCGCGGGAGAGCCGCTGCGCAGCGTGGACGCGCCTACACCGCTTTTGCTCCGCTCGCCATCTCTCGCAAAGGTCCGAAAGCCATAGCCACCACCTCCTCCGACCTCCCCGCGGCTCAAGTCCTTTCGCCGTATCTCGCCGTCTCTTCCACGCCTCGAAGAGCTCTCGTCGCCATAGCCCCATTGCATGACAGCCTGCTGAACTGCGTCGTGTAGGAGGTGTGCAGAGGGATGAGCGTCAAGGGTTTTTGGCCCGCGGGAGGGGCGGCAGCTAGCTGGAGACCCTGACAACATTGTGGGGGGCTGGTAGGGCTGCGAGACTTTTTTGTCCGCGTCCCCATGTCGGAGTGCTCCGGCGGCGGCGCGTCCGCCGAGCCGTGCCACCAGTTCTCTGGGAGGTCAATGCTCAGCGAGGGCGGCGGCTTGTCGTTCTGCAGTGCGGTGGCTGTGGCGGTCGACTCGACCGCGAAGCGCTCCGCGGCGGCAGAGGGGCCGCCATAGTTGGGCGAAGACGGCGTCACCCCAGTGGCCTCGCCACCTCCGTCCCACATGTTCTTCTCCCGGGAGCTGCCGCCGCCGGGGGCCTGCACGCAGAGTGCGCGAGCGGCCGACGCCGACCTCTGCACCGGAGAGCTGGCCGGCAGGCGAGGCGCGGACTTCAAGGCGCAGAGCGCCGCCGGCCGAGCCAGCTGGTGGGCGCGCCGGTAGCTTCGCGCAGCCGACATTTGCCAACTGCGCGTCTGTGGACGGTCGGGAGGGGCGGGCGGGTGAGCGACAGCGGATGGGAAGTGGGGTGAGCGGGGCGGTGTCTCTTCGGCGGCGAGGCGGCGGAGAGATGGAGGGGAGCGGCGGGCCGGTGGGCGGGGCGGCGGCGGGGCGGCTGCGGGCGCGAGAGACTCGTGCGGGCGGGGAGCGACGGGGACGCAGGCGGGGGTTGCGTCGGCGTGCGGCGGAATATTGGACGCGCGCAGGCCCGGAGGGAGGAGTGGGCGGGGCGGAGGCGGGGCGAAGGGGCGGGGGTGTGCGGGGCGTCCGGGGAACCCGAGTAGGCGCGCCCGGCAGGGATGTGAGAGGGGAGAGCTCCTCCGATGTGTCGAACTCCGCTCGCCTGAGTTTCTTCCTCTCCACGCTCCTTTCCTCGACCTCGACGTGAGCAACGCGCGCTCCGATTTCGACGAGCTGCGGGCGGCGCATGACAGGCTCAAGAAGGAGCACGGCGAGATCACGGCGACGTGGAAGGAGTGGGACGACAAGACGAAGGCGGAGTACTTTGACCTGGTTGGCGGTACGACAGGCAGGCCCCCGGACGTCGAGGTGGAGCCGTGGGACGGCCCGACGAGGGCGAGAAGCTGCGCGCCTCCGCGCGGCCGCCGGAGCCAGCTAAGAGGAAGGCGCTCTCGCGCTTCCGGCCGCATACTCTTGTCGAGGCCAAGGAGCTGCTGCCCCTCGCCGAGTTCACGTCCAAGCACGAGTTCCTACACCAGGCGCAGCGGCGCTTCACGACGGTGGTCCACAACAGGAACTGGCGCGACCTCGCCCTCGAGCTAAGGCAGGAGGGCTCCGCGGGATCGCGGTCTGCTCCTCGCGGCAAGAAGGGCAAGGCGCAGGCCAAGGGCAGGGAGCGGGCGCAGCATGCGGCTTGGCGGGAGGCAGTCCGCTTCGTGGCGGTGAGCCAGGATGGCGCCGGCGCCTTCCTCAACGCCATCCCCATGCGGGATGATATGCGAATGGAGACTTGGGCGATGCGTCTTACGGTGCAGCGCCGCCTGGGTCTCCCCCTCGACGTGGCCTGCCAGGCCGCGGCGGCGGGCAAGAAGACTCGGAATGGGAAGACCCACGACGAGCTCGGCGACGCTGCTGTCAACGTACCGCAGCATGGCCACAACACGAGGCACAAGTACACGCTTCGACGCCTCATCCTCGCCCTGCGCGCCGCGTGGGGCACCGCTGTGCGAATGGAGCCGAAAGCCCACCTCGGTCAGAGTTACAACA